ACTAGAATGGTATGGAGGGGTTCTCATATGAGGAGAGGTTGAAATCACTCAAGTTGTTTTTTCTTGAAAAAAAAACTAGAGTTAGGGGGCGATCTGATTGAGGTGTTTAAGATTATAAAGGGAATTGATAGTGTTGATGCACCATATTTTTTCATAAATAATAATTTTAAAAATAGATGTATTTACAAATAATGTCAGTGTACATTGCTCAAGTGTTATTTTATTGATGGGGAGGGAGAGATATATTGAAAAACATGTAATGTATATTATTTTATACACTGTACTTAGGTATTTTAAAGTTTGATCTTTTTCTTTGCATTTTAGCCTGTACGATATCTCTGCTGAATCTGAAGGAGATGTTGATTGGGATGCTTTAGCTGAAAAATTTGAAATGTGAGGACTTTTCTAATATATTTGAATTATTGAGTCATTCTTCTATTTCAATAAATTGTGGAATTACTTATAAAGTATTCAGGAAAAACACAAAGTTCTATTAAAAAGATAAACATTACCACAAAAAAACGTAATAATAAGCAAGATATAAAATATAACTCACTAATGAAAACTTTTTTTCAATAATAATAATAAACATACATCCCTATCAGATGTGCTAAGTTTACATCATTGTGCTACAGTAAGCACGAACAATTACTTGCAATGTTTCAAAAGATAAAACTAGTCTGGTACTTGTGTTCTTGAATCTCTGGAACATTAACTGGCATATTTTCTATGACATGTCTCTTTGATTGTTTTACAACAACTACTACATATAGAAAACAAATGTCAAATTGAAAATGTGATACATGAAGTTACTTGTAAAGAATACTCAAAAACATACATAGTCAAAACTGGTATACTGTTGCGTGTGAGAATTCTTGAACATATGAAAGGCATTCAGAATGTAAAGGAAGGAAACTGAGTAGGAGAATACCATAAATAGAAAACCCATTATCAAAAGGACATAATTACTTAGACCAGAAAACCAAATGATCAATTTTAATGCAAAAACAAAATGTTGAAGATTAGTAGAAATTATGAAAACACTGAAGTAGAAGGTTTATTATATTTATAATATATATATATTCATACTTTACATTTCCTGATTATATGCATACTTTTGCTTAATAATAGTCTTCTAAACTGAACAATGTGTATTATATAGTAATATAACAATACAGCATTAATTGCTATAAGATATTGTATTGTGAATATAATTCTGTTCACATGTATGGTTATGTTAAATTATAATGAATCTTAGGCTCAGTATATGTAATGATAACCTGCTAATGATGCTGTGAGGCAAGATATCAAGCAATAATAAAAGGTTTTTCTTTAAATATATTAAATCGCATTTGTGCACTGGAAAAATAGTAAAAACCTTATATGTTCATTTTTAATATATGAGTTTTTCCTTTAATGGGTTATTGTTGTAAAATAGTTAGTTTTGAAATACTGTGTACAGAAATGTTAATAATACAGTGTCTCAACATAAGTGTGCCATTACAATATTTAAAAATCAATTTTTACTTTTATCTTAAGTTTCTAAACTTGTTAGCATAGATGGTATTTATAAATTTTACAGGAAAAAAGAATCAGAAGAGTCTTCAAATAGACTGTATAATTTTGTAAAGTAACTAAAAATTTTATTTAGAATTTTCAAAACCAACTATAAACTAGATGCATCCTTGAATTCTTTGGGCTCCATTCCTTCTGTGATATTTCATGAGTTGTCAGTTGCATGCTTGTGATAAATATACAAGTTAAGATTACTCTGGCTACCAAACATAAAATTGTTGAAATACATTATTGATAAAAAAGAAAAAGTACATGCATTTTGTTTGGTTTGTGTAATACTGTATTTGGTATACTGTAATATTACTGTATTTGGTATACTGTACTCAAAGGATTTTAAAATATTTCCTTATTATAATGTTTCATGATGAACAAGTTTCATGTCTGTATTAAAAAATTACCCTCACTGCCAAATATCAATATTCTTTGTAATTTGTAAAGAAAATGTAGAATTTATAAACAGCATGAAATATACTTGGTTGCACTTTAAATATGTCGGATATATGTTTTGGGGGCACAAAAAGCCACAAGAAATGTGTAGAATAAAATGGTTAAATCTTTCATTTTATATTAAATTGAGTAAGTTGTTTTGTTTCTGTTTTCATTTGTCAAGGAGGTGTACACTTTTTTCACTTAAAATCTGCAGAAGTCTTTTTCAAAAACTGGGAAAATAACCAGTTATGTCAGTTGCAATAATTTTTCCTTTCTTCATTTTTACCAAAAAAAAGCAGTGTAGTATAAGAAAGCTTGAAACACCAGATTGTGTTTCGTAAAAAGCTAAAGGGATTAAATATTATCTTGTTTCAGCTAGACGTGTGACATTAGTTTATATTTGTAGTGAGCTTGGAATGGTCTACTCTTTCATTGGGGTGTGTGTCTGTGAGCCAGACTAGTTTCGGAGAATTCCACTCCTAATCAGTGACCCTGGAAACAACCACCAAAGAAATATCAAACCAAACCAAGTCTTTATAGTTGTGAGGTATCGAAAATCGATGATTAATGTTGGGCCTAAGACAAGTAAACTTATAGATTTTGGGGTCTGCGATTAGAGCACTTTTGTAATATTCTAGAAATCCTG